AGGAGCCAGCCATAATGAGAATTCAGCCGCCAATGGGGAAAACAAGGACAATCTCTAGCATACCTTTCACAAGACGCCTCGACATACTAAAAAAAAGTGTTTGAAGATTTATGATAAGCCCACACCTTTAATAAATACTAGAGCTACAAAAAAACTCAAGGACATGAAGACATGATCTAGAAAGACAAGACTCTACATACCTTAATGGCTTTTAGACATGAATATAACATATGAGGACCCAACTCGAGCATCTTAAAAATTCTAAAGGTACATGTTAATTAGCATATTCAATTTATTCTTTATTTTCATGGTTTAAATGTATCAGATAAGTCTTTTGTAGTATCATGGATTGTGGATTTTGAACTACTGATCATACAACAAACTATTCTAAATTTTTTATCTTCCATGTGCAAGCAAAAGAAATTGTTGGTGTTGATGGTTCATTAACCATAGTGGAGTGAATTGGAGTCATAAAACTTGCTTCTTATTTCACTTTAAATAATGTACTTCATGTTTTGAAATTATGTATTTTAGTGAATTTCTTTGTGTTGGCCATGTATAAATTTTGACGGTACGCACACTTCATTCTCCATGAGATTATTAATTGATGGATAACAATATATATTATTAGTATTAATTGATGTTTTCAAACCGCCCCTTATTATCAAAATAATTTTCTCAAAATAATTCAAATATTATACTAAGCAATTTATGGATTACAAATATATATTTTTTCATTTTTATAGTTTAATTATGTATATAATATTTGCTCACCTAGTAATTCCTTAACCTTTTTACAAAGCGAATATATATTAGGTTATTTTTTTCGTAATATGCCTAATTATGACTATAAAAACAGGTTTCCAGTTGGGAATAATATTTAAATATGATTTATACTTATTTTCATAATTAGAACTAATGTATATATTGTCACGGACCGCACCCCGTCTTATAGGGTAATGATCGGAACATACTTAAATCATATAAAATCGAGTTAAGTAAAATAACTTAACTTTATTAATCATAAAAGAGTCACAGAAGTGTTACATCCTTTAAATATAAAACTTAAATATATGTACGAGACTCTAAATTTCTTTACTTACATTACTAGACAAAAGTACGAAGCAGTAACCTTAATATTAGAGTCTACCTTCAGAAATTTCTTCTGTATCACCACTCACTCTGCAGCGGTACCTTCTGTATCTAAAATGTGATAAGGGTGAGATAAAATATCCTAATAAGCGATATTATGCAATCACATCATAGTACATGCAATATATAATTTCTTTACACATAATAAAACATATATCATATAATCTTTACAAAATAAATATGAATCAGAAGACAAAAATACAAATCAGAAAACATATTCATGTTATATACTTCATCACTATTATGGAGGATCAATCAATTATAATACATTATACGTAGGCACATATACTTATCACTAGTTCCCCATGTATCCGAACAGGAATGACATACATGAGTACCTTGAAATACTGCTACTCCACGAACATGAAACGTTTAGAACACACTTATCAGACTATTTTTCTATACACCCGAACACGGAACGGTTATGTATGGGTATACACTTATCATTTCGCTAATATACTAGAACACATAACGGTAATGTACGGTCAAATTAAAGCCTAGTGGAATGCATGTGCTTTTAGAATAATTTCTTTCCACAATGAGTGATGCACATATATCAAAATCCCATTTTGAAAATACAAAACGAAATAACACTTATATCGAAGTAAAACTTTAACAAATAATTACTAGGTAAATGCGAAAGATAAATTAAACACTTGTACATTTTTATATTGAAAATAAGTAAAATATTTCAAAACTACATAGACTATAAAATCATAATATCTACTTACCTTAGATCCTTAGCAGTCATAGTTTTAATTCTAACAGAATTCCAGCTTTATTTATGAGTTTTTTCTCTAAAAAATCCAGCAGAGTTTCGAGATGATTTTTAATCAATTTCTTAACTAAAAAATATCAAACACAATACTCAAAAACTAATTCGAAAAATTAAAGAGAAACTGAACTTCAAAACTTAAGAAAAAACTTACATTTCTAACGATTTATAACTTTGTTTTGATCGTGAGCCTTATTCCTCTTCTCTTCATCTTTCTCTGCTCTCATAAATTTAGTAGAGTTTTTCCAATGTTTTTATCTAAAATCTCAAAATACTATCAAATATCACATACTTCGTACTCCATCTTCTTCATTCACCTCTATGTTTCTCACTATTTTTCTCTTATCCGGAATGTCTTTTCCTCCCTTCTCTTATCCCCTATTTATAGGAGTTGGGAGCCACAAAAGCAAGGTTGTCACTATTCTATCATATTATTTTATCTAAAAATTGTCATATTTAATCATATCGCTTTACCTAAAAAGTATCACTTTTCACATACTGTTTTATTTAAAATGTCTTTTCACATGTCACTTTATTTAAAGTTACTATTTTTCACATGTCATTTCATCTAAAAGTTGTCATTTCATACTTATTTTATCTCCTTTATCTTTGTCCATCATTTTTTCGTTTGACTATAAACTATGTACTTAACTTATATATTTTCAAACATATATAAAGGCTAAATTAAATATATGAAACATAAAAAATTAAATTAATGGTATTTTCAAATTATCACATATATAATATGTATTAGTCAGCAATAGCTGTTTTAAAGATAATTAATTATTATTCTTATTTTTATGTTTTAGTATTTTTAGTTATACATTTGCATGAATCCAATAATTATCATCCGTCTGTTAGTGTGACGTGTATATATATATAATATAAATCTTTTACTTTAGTATTTCACTAACTTTCCAGCAAAAAAAATTTTAAGATAGAAAAACCCATTGTATAGACTTTAATTTGCTAGTAAAATAGAAATTAATTTAAAATCAATACAGTGAGAGGCTAACAAATTGGTGTCTAAGCATAATTATATATACAGATACATATAGATATATACATATATAAAATGTGTGTGCCCAGAATAACAGAGTTTCTGAAACAGTTTGAAGTGTACAGCTGTTTCATTTTTTCTTCTAAAATGATTTCAGTCATTGATTACTTCCGTTTGATCTTAATTTAACTACGTACCTACTAGCAGCTAGCTAATAATCAATTAGATAATGTCTGACTAATAAATATAAATTATTAATAAAGACAAAAGTATAAAATGGATGATTGTGCGCGCACGCACGCACACACACACACATATATATACATATCCTAATTTGAATAACACAACTTTCCTATAACAGTAAAATAGTAATCGAAACAAACGGTTATCTCTAATTTTTACTATAGTAAAGAATTAAATTTGACTATTAACTAATATAAAATTTACTGTGCATTACAATATATATTAAAAAATAAAATAATTACATATTTTACTAATTCTTTTTATTCGGTAAACTCATATAATTTTAAGAAAAATACAAGAACAGTAGTTTTTGAATGTTTGAAAATTTATTTTTAGTGCGAGAGTTGGTTCATAAATATCATAACTGTTAAAGAAAAATTACGTGTTAGACCAAAAAATTTGGGAACATGCATAACTGGGGGATAGAAGTTAAGAATGTTTACAATATTTGAGTTCATTTTATAGGTTTAAACATTGATTCGGAGTTGACAGCAAATTTTTAGAAATTACATGTACGGATCAACAAATTGAATTTAATAATTTAAAAAATTAGTAAGAATATATAAGAACAAATAAATTTTTATTAGAATTTTTTATGCAAAAAAGTAACAAGTGCATTTTTCTGAATTTCAATGTTTCTTCTTTTGATATATATATAATATATTCTTCATGTGATATAACATATCCCCTCCATCATGTTGGCACATGATTACTACGATAGTTGAAAGATAGATTCTAACAAATGTCTTTATGCATTTCGAATTAAATTTGCAGAAATAATATTCATATTTTGATATGAAATTTACCTATAGAGGTATTTAAAAAAATAATTTCTAACAAAAATGCATGTATATTTGAACTTCCAAATCCAAAACCAAGCAAAATAATATATTATTAATTGTTCTAATGGGTAATTTATATAGATAAACTGAACCAGATTTAAGCTGAAGTTTGTAATGATATATATCTTAATTCATTATATAAGTATCAATAATTACGTATATTGAAATGTGAGATTAAGTCATCCCAGTAATAAAACTAAACCACTAACTATTTATATTTGTACAAATTTTATTATAGGAGTAAATTATACGTAAGGAATAATCACTAGCAAGTAAAAAATCAATGCTTTATTTACAATTATTAAAGAATAAAAAAGGGGAAATTCTTATTTATTTGCGCATGTCAAATGAACAGAAAAATAATTCATTTAGTAGAACTGAAAAAGTATTTAAGAGACTTGTATTCATGTTGAAGGCGCACGTAACACGTTTCCTTGAGGTGTATTGAGAACCATAATATCTAAACCTCTACTTCATTTTTAATTTACTAACAAATTATAACTAAATTATTTTTATTAAATGTATTCAGAATTATAAATGAAATTTATATTAAAGAAGTCAACTGTCGTAGTGGTGGTAAATAAAAGGGACTCGACTATCATCTGAGTTGATGTATAAAATACTTTTACTTGAAATAAAATATTAAATAATCTAAATTATAAGTTATAAAGAGGAGTAATTTATTCACTGAGGTTTATGATTAAAAAACTTTTATGTATTATTATTAATTATGCATTGATGTCAAGTACGATGGGTTATTACTGGATAAATTAAGAGTTCTTTGTTTATTCAGACTATTTTCTAATTATGGCTAATTCTATGTCCGACTCAAATTAAATATTTTTGTGATTAATAAAAATACAAAATCAAATACACATCAATTAATTATAAATAAAATAAATTTAATTGCGCATCAAGTTTCCAGATTATAATAATTTCTATATATCAAATAACTTAAAAAGTTATAAATTAAATTAGAAGAGAGACCTAGATATATCACCATATTTGTAGTGCAAAGCTTTAATTTATTATAGAAAAACCTCTACATCCGGGGAAATCGTAACAGTTCATTTAGACATGCAGTTTACGAAGTGAAAACCCAGCAAACTACAGGCATTCTAATGCCTGCTCTTTAACTAACAGCCACTTACGGTTAACTTGAAGGTAATTAGCTACTTAAGTACCTAGTCATCCATGACTTGAAGCGAGACCATGCAAGCTCGACAGCAGCTTCATCTTCATCGGGCATTCCCATGCTTTTCCTCCTCTCCACGCCTTCTGGAGATCTGTTCATGAAAGCATGTGCATTGCCGGGATAAATGTGAACCTCATAAGGAACTCCTGATGCTTTCAGCTTTTCCTCCAAAGCCTTTGCGGCCTGTAAACACCAATTTTATCATCGTAGCTAAGATGCTTTAGCCATCTTGTGTGATATAGCACGACTCCACCCACAATAATACAATAATTTGTATATAAAAGAACCAAGAGCTTTCTAAATTAAAATTATTCACCTCTAATAATGACTCTTCTAATTGGGGACCTTTTCTATTTTGTTGCTGGGGGAGGAGATTCTACTCTTCCATGTTTCACCCCTTCAAGACCCAGCCCCCCAACTGGGCTTAGGGGCTAATTTCATAAAACTACACAACTAATACCTGCATGAAATTGGCTAATCTAAGGAGGCAGGTGGACAATGAAACTGAAGAGTTGCGGAATCCTGAGCATAAATTGATACAAATATGTAAAACAAAATTCAGAGCTAGTTCAGAATTAATCCTCCAGGAAAGGACCCAAAAGTTATGGGCACATGATTTTATCCATGGGAAAGAGAGAAGACTGCTTCGAAGTCATTACTAATTTTTGAGACCTCGAACATTTAGGTGCGTATCAGCAACTAATGGCTTTTAGAATTCGTTAGGAAAAGTACCATGACTTTATATTGCATCTTAGAAGATCAAACCTGTGACTAAATTTTTGTCATAACCATGCAATCATCTGTTACTGTATGGAATAACCTTGAGTCTTTTTGTAGATACTTAAGAAATCAATCTCATACAGTATGATTTTATCTTTCTATTTAAATTATTAACATTAACAAGATTCAGGAGATGATTGTTATTTGTATGTTTTTAGTTTCTGTTATACTTTTTTCTGTTTTCATCATCACAATGCTCACAGGTAGGAAGTTTGTTATTTTGTAGAATGAGCTGGACATATTCTAGAAGCTGAGGTGTTTTTATTTCATTGGAGTAGTTTGTTATACCTTCTGGTATATAATCACCCTCTCAAATGTAAAACATTTCTCAAGATCAATAAGATTTTTTTTCTCTGTTTTTTCTTCATTAATCTAATACTTTACTTCAAGCTGTTTACAACTTGTATATGGTATCGGAGCAACATATCTGATTTTTTCTTCTACCCGTTCTTCTTTTTCTCTTGAGATATTGATGGAGAAGAAGGCATCATTGCAAGGGTCACACAAACCCTTACTAATGGCAACCCATTGATGATACATGGGTCTGATGATCCAGGAATATCTCTGGTTACAGCTCTTCTTACGGTGAGTAATTATCTAACCTGGAGCACTGCTGTTAAAATCTCATTAGAACCTAAGAATAAGATTGGTTTCAATTCTGGAGAAATTCAAAAGCCAGATCCAGCCAGCAATGAATATGCTCAATGGAAGAGAGTAGATGTCATGGTAAAATCCTGGATTCTTGGCTCCATTTCAAAGGATCTTGTGGACTCTTTCATTTACTGTTCTACTGCTCAAGACTTATAGAATAAGATTGAGCTAATGTATGAGATATGTAATGGGTCTCTTTTATATCAAATCCAAAGAAATATTGTCTCAATGGAACAGGACAGCAATTCTATTGCTATGTATTACAATATGATGAAGAAGAATTGGGATGAACTGAATCGATTAACTCCGATTCCAGTTTACTCTTGTCAATGGTGCTCCTGTGACATTACGAAGAGGTTGAATGTGATGAATTCCTCCAGCAAACTTATTTAATTCTTAATGGGTCTCAACTCTTCATATGAAGGAGTTAGAAGTCAAATCCTTATGTTGGATCCATTACCCTCTGTAAGCAAAGCCTATTCAATGATTTTACACGTAGAGAAACAAAGACAAATAAATATTTACACAACTTATGTGGTTGAAAATAGTGTTTTACTGGATAAATCCAACTTTAAGAGCGAGAATGTAAGGAAGGGAAATTCTTAAAAAAATGACGTGAAGAAATGAGATAGAATCTATGAATTTGTAATGTTCCAGGTCACCTGAAGGATTCCTGCTTCAAAATACATGGATATCTTGACTGGTGGAAAGATTTGAAGAACTAGAATGGAAAACCTGAGCAAAAAAAAAATGGCAGCCAACATCGTTGCTGTTGTGGGAGAAACTGACTGGAGCAAATTTACATCTTTGATTCAGCAAGAGAGAACTAAGTTTATGAAAGGCAAACGACCAATAGAGGCAGAACAAGTCATGTTTGCTCACGGAACAGAATTTGCAAGTATATCATCAGAAAATGCTATGTTCTCATTTGATAAAAATTTTCAATCCACCATGTGGATCACAGACACAGGTGCAAGCACGCACATGTGTTTTAATAAGGAATTGCTTCATGATCTGCATGATATTGGCTTATGCACTCCTGTACATTTGTCTGATGGAACCACTAAAATTGTGAAACAAGCTGGTACTGCTCTCTTACATCCTCGCATACCCTCGGCAGATGTGTTGTATGTTCCCTTTTTCTATTGCAACCTTCTATCTGTTAACAAAGCTGTTAAAACCTCTAATCTGCGTTTTATCTTTTACCCTCAATGTTGTTTGATACAAGACCTGAAGAGTGCTGAAGTGCTTGCACTTGGTAGACTATTTGGATCACTCTATATCCTAGATAACTCATCCTTCAAAGCTACAATTATAAACAAAACCAAGAATCAAATATGTGCCTCTGCTTCCTTACAAAAAGAAATGCCTATGCCCATGTTAAGTACTTGTAATCAGCTATCAAATTATGTTTATTGTAATGTTTTTTCAAATTCTGATAATAAAGATGAACTTTCTACTCAGATTTGGCACTCTAGATTCGATCATGCTTATGCTTCTACCATGAAGCACTTATACTTCATTAATCATCAATCTTGCCATATGGCTAAGCAACATATGCTACCCTTTCCAACTAGCAACATAAAAACCACTCACACCTTTGATTTAATTCACATGGACATATGGGGACCTTATAAAATGCAGACATATAACGGTGCTCAGTATATTTTAACTCTTGTTGATGATTTCAATAGGGGAATTTGAACTTTCTTACTAAATTATAAGTCTCAAACCAAAACCATTCTTAGCACCTTCTTCAAAATGATACAAACACAATTTTAGTGTCCAATGAGTGCTCTGACAATGGGACTGAATTTGTAAATCAACAATGTAAGGAAATGTTTGCTTCCTTGGGTATTATTCATCAAACCTCATGTTCCTACGCCCCCAACAAAATGGGATTGTAGAGAGAAAACACAAACAATTATTAGAGATAGCCAGGCCTATTGTTTCAATCCAATTTGCCTAAACCTTTTTGGGAAGATGCAATTTTGACAGTCACTTATCTCATAAACAGACTTCCCAGCTCAGTCCTAGAATGGAGAACACCGTTCGAGATTATATATGGTCGTAAACTAGATTACAACCAACTTAAAACCTTTGGGTGTTTATGCTTTATATCTAACAATTTGCCCCCTAGAGATAAGCTGGACACTAGATCCTCCAAATGCATTTTTTTGGGGGGGGTATGTAGCACAAGAAAGCTTATAAAGTCTATGACATACAACATCGTCAGTTCCGTTTTTCCCAAAATGTTACTTTTTATGAAAACTCATTCCCATTTCATACAATTCGTAATGACCAAGAAGAGATTCCTTTGCCTAAGATTGATATTTCAGCTGATGCCCCCTTTTTTGATCCTAATTCCTCTCCCATTCATGGTACTACTTTGACGCATGATTCTCATCCAGAGTCTTCACAATCTCCTCAAGTCACTTCATCTTCTCCACATCTCCATAATTTCGATCAACCACTTGCAGCCTGCTGACAGAAAACCTAACCTGCTTGGATGAAAGATTTTATTTGTCATTCTGCCATCACAAATAGTATACCGACTACATTGCACAAGCAGCCTCCAGGTTCACCAATCGAAAGCCTCATACCTCCATCTTATCCATATCAGGTTTCTTCCAATTTTTCATCTTCATACATAGCTTCTCTTGCAAATATTACTAATATTGCAGAACCATACTCTTATAAACAAGCCATCAAACATAAAGAAGGGGTTGCTGCTATGGAAAGGGAGATTGATGCCCTAGAAGCTAATGATACTAGGGAACTCACAACTCTTTCTGCTGAAAAACATGTTATTGGAACAAAATGGGAATTTAAAGTTAAATTTCTTCCAGATGGTAAAGTAGAACGTTTCAAGGCTTGGTTAGTAGCCAAATGATACAATCAAACACCGGGTGTGGATTATTTTCAAAGTTTCTCCCCAGTAGCTAAAACAGTCACAATCAGGTTCTTCTTAGCACTTGCTGCTGCTAAAAATTGGTTTCTTCACCAGCTAGATATCAATAATGCATTCCTTCATGGCACTCTTGATGAAGAAGTTTATATTAAACCTCCTCCTGGTTATGCTAAAGCTTCTCCTTTACAAGTTTGCATGCTAAAGTCTTTGAATGGTCTCAAACAAGCTTCACGACAATCGAACACTGTTTTTACTGAGAAACTGCTACAATTTGGTTTCATTGCATCAGAACATGACCACTGCTTATTTATAAAAAATCTTCTGGTACATTCTTGGTTCTAGTAATTTATGTTGATGATGTCCTTATAACTGGAAGTTCTGAATCTGCTATTTCAGCGACAAAGCAGTTTCTACATGATGCCTTTACTATAAAAGATGTTGGTGAAGCAAAGAATTTTTTGGGTCTCGAACTAGCACACTCTGAAAAAAGCATGTACATCACACAACAAAAATATGTTCTTGATATCCTTACTGATACTGGTTTAACTGGATCAAGACCAGCTCTTACTCCTCTACCAAAGAACTTCAAATTTTACACTGAGTCAGATCCCTTTCCTAATCCTAAGCAGTATCGTCGTCTTATTGATCGATTGCTGTATTTGAATTTTACAAAGTCAGATATCAGTTATACTGTTAATCGACTTAGCCAGTTTACAGAATCACCAACATGTATTCAATGGGATGCTGCTCTTCACGTCTGCAACTGGTTTGTTTTATCCATCCTCAACTAATCTTCAACTGGTTGCTTACTCAGATAGAGGTTGGGCCTCTTGTCCTAAACCAGACGCAGCTTAACTAGCTATTGCATTTTTTTGGGCTCTTCACTTATTTCCTGAAACAAAGAAACAGACACCATTTCTCAGTCTTCTTGCTAGCTAATATCGCAGCATGGCCAATACTATTTGTGAACTTATGTGGCTCTCTTATCTTTTTTCTGATCTTCAATTACATCTCCAACTTCCCATTCCCTTGTGCTGTGACAATAAATCTGTCATGCATATCACCGCCGACCCCGTGTTCCATGAAAAAACAAAGCACATCAAGAGTAACTGTCATATTGCTCGCAAGAAATATAAGGATGGTTTTATTTTGCTGCAATACATATCCGGTCATACGCAACTTGCTGATATTTTCACCAAGTCTCTTAGCTCACCTCAATTCAGTGTCACCACTTCCAAGTTGGGTTTGCTTGATCCTCACCAAACTCCAACTTGAGTGGGGGATGTTATTTGGTATATTTTTAGTTTCTGTTATACTTTTTTATATTTTCAACATTACAATGCTCACAGGTAAGAAGTTTGTTATTTTGTAGAATGAGCTGGACATATTCTAGAAGTTGAGGTATTTTTATTTCATTGGACTAGTTTGTTATACCTTCTGCTATATAATCACCCTCTCGAATGTAAAACATTTCTCAAGATCAATAAGATTTTTTTTCTGTTTTTTCTTCATTGATCAAATACTTTTCTTCAAGCTGTTTACAGCTTGTATAATGATGAATGTTTTCATGCACCACGGTATACAATTATTAAAAAAGCTTAGTTTAATCCAGGCTCTCTTTTCTTGTTTTGGGGGCCGGGGGTTTTGGATTGGGGGGGGGGGGGGGGAGTGGGGTTCAAATCTACATTGCTAGAGGCACTAAAAAATACTTGGTTGGGAAAGATGACCAGCAAGTAAAGTGTCTCTGGCCAATTTCTATTTCAAAACTCTCATTAAATTTCTGCTACTTAGATATGAAGATTCACTTAGAAGCCACATCTTCTAGTCAATTTCCATCATATTGGGACCATAGTGGAAATCCTTTCTATTATTTACTTATTTATTTTTTCTGGGGAACTAAAACAGGAAAAAGAAAATGGCATAGTAAGCCAGTGATAAACAAGAACTAAATTTCATGATAATATCTTCTAGTCAATTTCTATCATATCGGGACCATAGTGGAAATCCCTTTTATCATTTAGTTATTTATTTTTTCTGGGGAACAAAACAGGAAAAAGAAAATGGCATAGTAACCCAGTGATAAACAAGAACTAAATTTCATGATAATAGAAAATAACTGATAATGATTCAAATTCAATAAATGGGCATTAAAAAATTGGCATACCCTCACATCAGAAAATCCAACAAAATTATCTAGCTCTCCAAAATGAGCCTGAACAGGTGCCTTTGCTTGGCCAGGGTCCGCAAGCTCTGAAGAAGGAACCCCATAAAAGGCCACAACTGCATCAACCTCAGGTACTAAAACAGCATTTGCGATTGAGAGAGCACCCCCCCATGCAAAATCCAGTTACGCCAACCTGTCACAATAATTGCATGAGTTTGTAAAATTTAGGAATTCCTCTTTTCAAGTTTTAACCAATTTCGTACATATTTACCTTTAGACCAGAAACAGAGAATAGATTTTACAACAAATCAGGTGGAGCATGACATGAAAAAAAAAAAACAGCCCCATGGCAGAAAGGAAGCAGCACATTTCTAAATTCTAACCTAAGATTTCAAATTTTGAATCCTACCTAACTTAGCATATATAACTTCAATGTATTCACATTTGCAAGGCTAGAGAGTAAGCACATATCCCTAATGGAAATTACATTGATGAATTGAAGAAGTAAAGTTAGTCAATTTTTTCTACTCAATCCTTTGCTTGTTCAAAAGAAGTGAGAAAGCATATTGACAAACAATAATTTTATTTCCAGCACTTTTAATAGCAGCATCATTTTTCTCCATTGCTCCTGCATCCCCACTGTGCATGAAATTGAATCATAGTTTCTACATATCCTTGTTTCCAGGTTTACTGATATAAAGATACAAAGATAACAATTTAGCTCAGCAAAAAGTATGTGAGGAGAAAAGCAATATTTCCTGTTTCTTTCTAGAGGATCAAGGGTGAAAATGGAGCTGATAAGGAAGCAAGTCTGACTCTCAACGGCGAAACAGTTCATTTTTAAAATTGGAATGTTCATGTTAAGCTTAGAAGAGCAAAAATGTGCACTTTCCTCGGGTAACTAAAATTAGGTCAAAATAGGAAACGTGAAATAAGAATTTTCTAGGGGAGGTTAGAAGGAAAACATTTTTCATTTATTGGTATTTCAAGATGTGAACTACAAGGTCAGTACATGGTTAAGGGCACTAGATATAGCCTCATATCTTACTGCCTAAATGAGTGATATAAACAATGAGGAATTCTCATGAAACCTAATCTTGAAGCCAGCCTCTGGGCCAAGTATAATCCTCAAAGCTTTCAGATGCTGTGGTGTAGTCCTTCAAATTCAGTGGATAAAACAGTGTATACAAACTCCAGCTACAAATAGCAGGTTCCCCAACTGTAATAATTTTGTAACAAACAAAAGTCAAATAATGGTTTTCAGAAAACTAATAAAACAAGCAGTGGGTGACCTTCTTTGAGCCATTTTCCTTGAGCCAATTAACCGAAGCGCAAATATCCTTTACAGCACCTTGCCAGTCAAGACCATCCATCAAGTGTTGTGCTTCTGCAACATCCAAACCGACTTTTCCACGATACAGACTAAGAAAATTACGCAAGAAAATAAATCAAGAGAAGATATTGAGCATCAAATAGACAATGCCATTGCAAAAGAAACAAAAAAATGATCTTAGCATGGATGAATAATTACTCAGGGATAAGGGCCTTGAATCCTGGGTCTAGTTGAGAAATTTTAATTGCGTGGTTCTTGATCTCAAAATCAACACCCCACCACTCTTGCAACACAACAATCCCAGGAGCATCTTCCTTACCAACCACATAGGCATCAAATACCTACAAATCATCACAAAGCTTTAGCAAGTCCACCCACTGGAATAACAATTTACTGGCAATAGTTTGATAAAAATATAGAAATGAGAACTGATTCACCCAAAAGAAGCTTAATATGCTATATCATATATGAACCCGATCAATCAATAACCAAAAAGCCTGAATTCTCTATTCACTGTATCATTCCCTACATTTGCTGGACATGCTGCGAGTTTTCACTAACAAAATAGACTTTCACCCAGTGTATATGAAAACCCAAAATTAATTACCAGCAGAACTCTAACATGATGAAAAATAAAATAAAGTAAATAGTCACCATTTTCACATAGAAATCGCGAACAGACACATTCTAGATTACTCAATAAAACCACGAACCAAGACAGAATGGCTCACAGCTACGTACTAAAACCACGCATCCGTGAAACACTCGAAAGCCACGAGGCAGAAAAAATGATATAGAAGTATGTAAAACCCCAGAAAAAGAGCGAGAGAGATCGATTCAACTCACTGTATCATCTCTCTGAATCTGGACTTTCTTGAACGCGGAGTCAGACATTGAGCGGACGGAGAAGCGGGAACCTGAAGGAGACCGACGCCGAACTAGAGTAGATTTAGGATAAAGCCTGGTGAGGAAGACTCTGGAAGAAGAAGATGATCGAAGAGCTGCCAACATTCTTTTCTCTCACCTTTCCTAGCTTTTATAACACTGACGTTTTAGGTGAAAATGATATGAAACGCGATCTGCGAAGTAAATGGATATGGTCCTCAATACGACATCGTTTCCTAAGGTTTCACCGCCCGGAGCCAGGTGTCACGGTGTTGGGTTAGCCCATGCCCGCCCCGATAGTGCCCCGATTCTCACGTATACTTGACAAGTGGAATTACGAACTAATTTGTCAAAATTTGATTTTAACTAATGAAGGATGATTGATAAAAAAATAAAAATTATAATTATAATTTTTTTAAAAGTATTATGTTATCTAATCTAAATGTTATATATAAGAGACTTTTCTATGATGGTGGAAAAAATAATAATTATCATCTAAAATTTTAAAAACTTCAGTAACAAATATATTTTTCATATAATGATTAAATAAATTATGAATTTTTTAAGAATTATAAATTGAGTTGCTATTACACTTAAACCCTAATTATTTATGTAATATTTATATTTTTAAATATTACAAAATTTTATGATTATCAAAGTGAAATTACTAATCAAATAATTAATAAGATCAGTTATATTATACCATAATTTTAATTATTGAGAGATAATAAATAAAAATTATATTTAAATTTAAAAAAATTATAAATTTATTTCAAAATATTGTATTATTTAAATTAAATGTTATATATAAGATTTTTCTATGACAATTGGTGGAAAAATAATAATAATCATTCAAATTTTAGAAAAATCATTCAGTAATAAATATAATTTTTTATGTAAATAATTAAATTATAAATTTTTAAAAAATTGTAAATCGAGATGCAATTACACTTAAACCTTAATTATTTATGTAATATTTACCCTTTAAAATCTTAATAAATTTTACCTGATAATGCAAAATTGATAAAAGTTTTGTTCTATGATTTTGAAAAACTCTCTCAATTCCATGATCGTATTTATAATTAAAAAATCGTTTAAAATATTCGAATATTCTATAATTTTCTACACATACATTTACTGTTAAAGCATAAATAATATTGAATACATTAAATTTTACATATTTTTAAAATATACATACAATTTTTAATATTACTAATGGGTCGGGCAACCCAAACCCAAACTTAAATTTCAAGAAGAAAAAGACCAAAAAGAAAAACTTTGCAACGGAGGAAAGAAGCAAGTTGAGATACACGTCAGATTGTGGGGGTAAATTTGTCATTTCGTGTGTGGACCCGGATGAGGCCAAATAAAATGTACTAAACCCCGTAAAAAAAGTAAAAAAGAAAATGTACTACACACACGAAAACAGAGAAAGCTTGGATGCGTGACAAGCATGAGCTATACCATGTGTACTAGTATCACACGTACCATGTCACGTGTTAGCACACTTACATTTAAAAAAAAAAAAAAAATTCACTATCATTATTTTGGAAAAACAAATTTAAGGTTACAAAAAATTAATTTATAAAAAATATTAATTATTTTAATATTCCTACGGAGGTGAAAAAACAATGGTAACAAATAATAAGTTAAATGATAACAAATTATAACCAAAATAAAAATATATAATCTAATAAATTTTTGGGTAAATAAGTTTATATTATTTAATTAATCTTGTGATATTTGATTAATTATAATTAATTTGTGTGTAGTTACAATTTTGAATAAGTTTGTTTCATAATATATAATTTGATTTTATGATTTGTAATAATTAAGCACGAAAATTGATTTTTTTAAAAAAACGTTACAACGATTTCATTAATGGGACAGTAGACTGGTAGTTTCTTAGGCACGTCGGATTTGAATAAAAACAAGAACTAACGTCTCTTACGAGTGTAGATGGCTGGTGAAGAGTGAGCGTTTCTCCACGAACCACGAGGAGGATGGATGTATGAAATTCTAACATGTCCCTTTGCCATCCCCATCAAAAAAATATCATACAAACATATATATACATATATATATATATACGTAGGGAGAAATTTTACATGTTCTCAAATAAAAAAATTTGATAGTTATAAGTAATTTTAAAATTTGTTCAAAATAAATTTTAATTTATAAATCTAAGAATGGGAAATATATGTGTTAAAAAGGATTTATTTTGGTAAAATATCACCATAGATGTATTGAATTAAATTGGTGAGTAAAAAAAACTTATAGATTATGTATGAATTTAAATTAGGAGAATACATATTTAATGAACTGAATAATTTACAGATTTGAAATAACTGTATAATTATGTTCAATCTTATAATAAACAATATATACATATCTCACTAAAATTATGTTTATTGAATCTGATAATTTTAAATATGAATTCGCAAACATCGGAAAAATTTATTATATTTATATTAATTATATTAATATTTTAAAAAATATTTAAAAATTTCAATTTTTTTAAGTAAAAATAAGGCACAAATGAAATATATAGATTTTCTCTATTTTTTAAAAATCAAATTAGATTTTCTCAAAAAATAAAAAAATAATAATATTTTTGTCTTTGACCTGTCATTATAAAATATAATTCTTCTTTTTAAAATTTTTTTTTTTTTTTTTTTTTTTTCTGTAATGGAGGGCGTAGACCCCACACATCCATGCCCCTCTTTACTTGTATTAACTCCTATTTCTAGTCTCCTCCCTACAACCGTCTTACTCACAGAAATTAGAGAGAAGCAAACCCAGCAGCTGATCATGAACAGAAGGGGAATCATGGTTCCTTAAATCCTTTCTCTTTTCATCTTCTTCTCTTTATCTTTGACGAATTATTCAAATTCTAATCATTTCTTTTCAAATTTAGGAAATGTCGTCGAACTTCGCAGGTTCCTTTCCGGGAGACCCATCAGGAAGCGGTGGTGCAAGTTCGTCTGGAACCAAACCTCCGGGTCTCCAAGCTATTCCGAGTATGGCGCTACTCGGCCGTTGGATTCAAGGTCTTCAATTTTCCGCAACCCGAGAACTCGCTCTTCATAACCTTGCCAAGGTACATTAATATGTCTTTATCACTATGGCTGTCTATCTCTATCGAGTTCGATCTACATATATATCTGCTGTTTTTTTTTTCCTTTTTTTTTTAGATTTTAACTCTTTTTCCTTTCCCGTTTGGCTGCTAAGAAATCAACCCACTGGAAATGTTTGGGGGTGGGGAGAAAAACAGCTATCTGGGTGATCATGAACCTTATATGTATATCAGATATACGGATAAGTTATCGTTATCGATATAAGTTAACATTGTCATCGAAAACAGTTGATTTCCATTTGATATGCTTTGCATGTCGACTTTACCATCCGTGGTTTTGAATCAGCCGTCTGTTTTTGGTACTTTCGTCCTTTTGGAAAGATCTGGTTCTGTAAACCTGATAATTCAAGTACCATAATTTTTTTAAAAAAGAGAGAAACAAAACGATGTTTTTATTTTTGTTTTCTGGGATACTTGGCTTGCAAAATTCTTTTGCAGATCAGTACTAACAAGATCAATTTTACATATTTTATGTCAATGTTTTGATATTTATGAAGTCATTATATATATATATATATATGTCCAAGTAATAACTCGAATAACATTCTCTACAAAAAATCCTTTTTTTTTTTTTCTTATCAAAGATTTTTTACTTCTTCTTGTTCCCCATAGTTAGAAAGTTTTAAATCGTTTCTTCAAGACTATTATATGTATATCAAACGTTTTTTTGCTTTCTGTCATGGCATAAAATATCATGTTTGCAAAACTGGTGCTTTTAGGATAATCTGAGTGTAATTGCCTTTCCATGTTAAGTTTTACATGGAAAGAATTCTAATGCCAGATTACAAGATAGTGAGAGTATAGAAAATGTTTGCTCCAAAGATGTTTTCATAATATTTTTAAAATAATTTAGCTCATCTCTAGTGATATAAAAATTTGAGATTCCTCGATTTATTGTGTATTATTATGATAGACGATTGATTTTCTTGTCGGTTATCACTAGATATAAAAAACGTACATGTTGAGAATCACGAATTTCTAATGTCTCAGGAATGATCCGATCTTTCATATTAACGAACAATTTTAACGTAACGATACGTGCGTGATCTTACACTATTTTTTGTCGTTTTATTATGATAGAATTATCATATTATTATTCTCAGATTGTTTATTAGCGTATACGACAAATGTATACAAGTACACTTGGGCCGCTTTTATGGTTTTAAGGGCAACAAAGAAAATAATTGCTTTAGATGAAATTTTTTATTTCTCAAAAAAATAAATTTATTAACTACTAATTCTAAATATTAGGCCTTTTATGCAACTTATACATCATAACGCTTGAATTTATTTTTTAAATTTTGAAATAATTAGTGTGGCTTATAAATCATATTCCTTGAGTTCAATCTTTATAATTTTGAAGTAATTACTTAACCTTTTCTTTCACTTAATAAATTTTCATCATTTGAATTTAATGTAACTATTTCCCCATCTCCTTTTCAGAATAGAGAAGCTTGTGAAGAGTATGCTGTGGTGTTATGGAATTCTTTTGGTACTGTTTCCATCCTTTTGCAGGTAAAATGAGTTATTTAGCTTCATTAGATGCATTTTTTTGCCAATTATTTTCTTTCGCATTATCAGTTTTATTTGCTTTTCTTTTAAGTATTTGATCACGGAGGGAATCAATATAAACTTAATGATATTTTTCATATTAATTTTTCAGTAATTTTTTATTCTTTCAGGAAATAACTATTGGTTACCAACTCCTATCAACTCAAATGATTACAGACAGAATAGCGAATCGAGTGTGCAACGCTCTTGCTCTACTTCAGGTTTAAATTCTTTATACAAAAAAATATTACAAATTTAGATTTCCTTAATGCATTCATTGTTGTGGTTGATGTTGTTGGTGTATAAGCCAAGGTAACATATTCATTAGCTAACTAATCTTTGGTGTTTGGTCCCGATTAATATGCTTGCTAAAGCAATTTGGTTATAACGATGAGATATTTTGCATGTTGTGTTAATTGATATCGTAGAAGGATTTCAGTGCACTTATGGAATGTCTACTTCAAAAACTAGAGCTTTAATTTGACTCATAAAAGAATATAAAATATGATGCAAGTAATATGACCATATCTAGTAGATATCTCCCATTACATAAGTCATTCTCAAGTGCTTGATGGTAGTAATATTTTAATCAAAATAAAGGTTGGAATTCCAAAATTTATTTTATACTTTTTTTACCCATTTCTTTAGTTGGAGGCATAGAGTTGTACTTTCATTTAATATGTATGCTTTCATAATATAACTGGTCTCCCATTTTTCTTTGCAGTGTCTGGCTGTTCACCCAGAAACAAGGCCAAAGTTTATCAAGGGTAATGTTACTTCTCTTCAACTCTCGTAGGACTTTGCCAATTGCATGTGAAAAAAGTGCATATTATGTTGATCTGTTAGAGATTTTGATCAACTCTTAAGTATATAAGAAGAGAAGAAGTCTAAGATTTTTTATCTTGAGAAAAAGCTTAATCCTTTGGCAGCGTATTTTTCTTTTCTTTTTTCTATCTCTTTGTTGGTTATATTAGATTGACGATACGAAATTTTTATATGGAGAATGTGATTGTGAGATGAATCAAGACATTGCCATTTACTATGAATTTCTAGCTTCGGTTTTTACAAAATCCTTCCACTTCCTCAATGCTTCGTCAGTTGAAGGCATCATTTGCTTGGCCTTTATTTCCAGGCAATCTTTATCTGTCTTCTGAAATAGAAGTCTTTAATATGATTAGGTTTTTAGGTTCATTTAAGTAGAATTCTTTGTTTGATTACTCTGGCACTGCAGCATATCAATCAGTTTTCCTTGCAGAAGAAGATCAAAGCTCATTCTTGAGCACGAACTTCATGGATTTCAGTATGTTGCTAGGTTTGCCAACTGTCGGTATCTTCTGTGTTCTCTAAGTGAATTTATCTTTTTGCAGCTAACATGCCATCGTATGTTTTCCCTTTTCTGAACCAAACCAAGAAAGAAAAGCCCTATGAACACATAAGGCTTACCAGTTTGGGTGTTTTTGGTGCTCTGGTGAAGGTAATTTTCCTCATTGTCTCGTCGGTTCTCTCATATCGTTTAATGCTCATGATCATAATATGTTTTCTTGATTCATTAGTTTTTAATCGAAAAGTAATAACAACATATGAAAATTACATAACTGAATCTTTTGATCATTAGAATGTACTAACAGACATGGATTTCCTATATGGGTAACAATTTGTATCTAAAAGATTTTTTTTACATTTACCCAGAATATTTTATCTGGGAGACAGTATGCCAACATGGTGAATTTTTAACGTTTGTACTTGTGTTTTATCTAATTACTATAAAGTATTAAACAATTACTAGACAAAACGACTAAGTTACTAGGAAATTTTAGAAATTAATATGAGACATAGTTCTTAGACACCACAGCATAGCAACGTACTTATGCCTATTTTATTAACTTGTGCTTCTGAGATTAAGTAAACAAACCTTTTATTCTTCCTTGTAGGGTGAAGATCCAGCTGCTATTCATTTCCTGATTGTTTCTGATGTACTTCCCTACTGCCTTCATGCTATGGACATTGGTGATGAGCTGTCGAAAACTGTAAGTAATTTTAACATCTAAAAGTGCTTAACTATCTTGTATCAATTGTCTGTCAAGATCAGACTGCTGGCAAACTGTTGATGAGGAAAAAAAAATGAAAAGCATTGTTAGAAATAGCAGAAATGGTAGTAAGACACCTGTGTCTGTATCATTATCAGCATACATTGAGGTCTTAAAATATTGATCTAAAAAATTCAATAACCAAAAATGGTTCCTAATACCCATAATAATGTTAATTAAGATTTACTAAAATGGAATAAGAAATGGAATGGAGAAACCAAAAAGTACCCGTATAAAGTGGATTCTGTTTATATGAATCTGAAAAATCTGCATCCTTTTGATCTACTTGAGCTCTCGTTGACACAGTCTGACTTGGCAGGTGGCTACATTTGTGCTGCAAAAAATCTTGTTGAGTAATGAAGGCCTGAAATATTGCTGCGCCATTGCTGATCGGTTTTTCTCAGTCTGCCGTGCTCTGGAGCGTATGCTTGACAAACTTCCCAAGCAGCCCTCCCCAAAGCTGCTGAAACTCATCGTTTGTTGTTATCTCAGGCTCTCAGAAACTCCCAGGTTAGATTAATGTTGCTGCATTTTACTTAATATTTGTCACTTCACCATCTGTTAACTCCATTAACAATTTTCAATTTTCTATGTTAGGGCATGTGATGGGTTAAGAAGCTGTCTTCCTGTGAAGCTGACTGATACCGACTTCGTTGGATCACTCTGCTCTGTAAGTGAATTCAAGCGTTTTTTTTTTTGGATAGTTTCTTCCTTATGGCATTGTTTTAATGAGAGATTCGTTAAACCTCATATGTGTTACTTTGTTATTTTTTCCAGGAGGAGCCATCGACTATCGACTACCTGCATCAATTGCTCAAGAATGTCTCCAATGGGCGCACACCGACTATCTGGGGGCCTATATAGATGGCTCTTGGGTATACAACAGTGTCCAGTACCAGACATAGACAAACAATATATAGAGATGAGGGCACAGGTTTTTCTATTTAGTTCTGAGCCAAGAATGTATGTTCTGATATATCGTAGTTGTTTGTATTTCAAGGAGAGTATGTTGTTCATCTTATCTTCGGACGTGAACGAAAAAACGGGTTGGTGTGGTTTATCGTAAGTTTGCACAACTGCGGATGTTTGCTAAAGTTTGCTATTTGAGTTGTGGATGTTTTTTATTTAAATCTCCTGCTGGCTTTTGTTTATATTATATAGGATTTTGGAATGTGCTCAGAGTAAAGGCATACCATGCTAGGATCTGTTTTCGTCCTTATTTTCTATAATCAATTTCCTTTTTTCAAAAAAAAAAAAATACACTTTCAAAGCTAGTGATTTAGTTTTTACAGAAATTCAAATCTTATATTTCTTACAAGTTCAGTTTCTATCCGTTTTCTTTTTTAATGACAGCTTAGGTTTTATGATTTTACTTGAAATTACAAGATCTTATAAATTTAGTTTCTGTTATTGTCATTTAGAAGTCTAGACGTATGCAAATCTCTCGTACAAACCTAATAATTTATACAAAATAGGAAAATCAAATCATAAAGACTGAACTTTAATTTAGAAAATGCATGGTTTAAACTACATTAATACGAGATAAATTATACTTTACTCGGAACAAAAATTTACGACCAACATTTCCCTATTAACTTTGAAATTTTTTTCTTTTCCCCTTAAAACCTTCATAAAATTTTGTTTTGATACTTTTCTTCTCTTTTCTATGGTTTTAAAAGAAATAAGGAAACAGCATGACATTTTGAAGAGTAAGAAACCCTATATTCAAAATCAACCTTTCAGAAATTTTGGAGTAGAAAAGGTGTAGAACGTCAATTAAGGAAAGGGTATACCTTAATCAATTGGGTATTGGTCAAATCAAGATGATTTTGCAGGAAGCTGAATTGCCAGTTCTTTCTCTGGACTTTTTAATTGTTTTCCGTCTTTCCTTCACCTGGAAATTAAGCTGGCTTATTCACTGCTGGCTTCGATATTATATTAGAGGTAAACAAAAAAATCAAACTTAATTTGTATATGTAGAACATCAATTAGATGAAAGGGTATACCTTAATCAATTGGGTATTGGTCAAATCAAGATGATTTTGCAGGAAGCTGAATTGCCAGTTCTTTCTCTGGACTTTTTAATTGCTTTCCGTCTTTCCTTCACCTGGAAACTAAGCTGACTTATTCACTGCTGGCTTCGATATTATATTAGAGGTAAACAAAAAAAATCAAACTTAATTTGTATATGTAGAACATCAATTAGATGAAAGGGTATACCTTAATCAATTGGGTATTGGTCAAATCAAGATGATTTTGCAGGAAGCTGAATTGCCAGTTCTTTCTCTGGACTTTTTAATTGCTTTCCGTCTTTCCTTCACCTGGAAACTAAGCTGACTTATTCACTGTTTGCTTTGACATTACATTAGAGGTAAACAAACAAAAAACAAAATCAACTTAATTTGTATGATCCCAACTTTACTTTAAATTATTTATGATCTTAGTTTCTATTATTGTGTGAAAGATTAATACAATGTGCATTTCTAAATGAACCCGCAAATAAAACTATTTGTTCTAAACTCTAAGACCCTCCTTCCTATGAAACTCATTTTGAAATTTTAATTATATTTTATATAAAAATATATGTACTTAATGAAAATGAAAAAAAAATGTTTCGAAAATGAAAATAATATTATGAAATGAGTTTGAGAAGATGTGTGTATATGCAGGCTTATATCTTGATTCGACCTGTACAACTCATATTGCAATTACCAAACCAAAAGTATTAATCAAGGATACAGAACAAGAGAACAACTAAGCCACCTTACCAGAAATTTTCCATGAATTTGAGCTTGGCATCCTTCCAGACATCCATAAGTTTGAGCATGTAATACATCCCCAT